ACCGACCACGACCGACCACCGATCCGATCCGATCCGAGATATTCGGAGATCGGTCGGCCTCGGATTGAATATCCTCGGCGTCGGATCGGCGTCGGAATCGAAAAATGGCCGCCGTTGAGAACGCTGGTGTATATGTAGTAACAATAATAAACCGTTTGTCTTAAAACATTACACTTTTGGGCGATTCTCTTCGTTTTTTGCGCCTGGTTCAACAGATCAATTTCAGCACCGAAAAACATTCAACACTGGCAACAACAAAACTCAACAAACCGAATCATTTTTTGTATTTTTTGTCACATATGTTTCTTTTATATTTGTCATAGATGCATAAGTATGAATGAAGACGAAAGAGACTGTATGTGTGTGTGTGTGTACTAGTAAAAAATAATATTCTAGACACGTTACAAATCATATGCCATAAAACTTTGTATTCGCTCTATCATTTTGCTTCGGGATTCTGATGCAGCAAATATCAACCACCGTTGCCGTGTATGCCAATCATTTGATCTGGAATTCAGTTCAAATATTCCACACTTTGTGTTCATTTCACTTTATTCGTCTATGTCTTGCGATTTCTTCTTTTTCTCGTCCCGTTGCTCGTCTTTCTCGAGGGAAATAATCGTTTGTTGATATTTGAGTAGTATATTTGTGAATGTTTGCTGGTTTGGTGTGTGCGCTATTCAACTCGAGTATTTCATTCGTTCGGGGAACAACTAAATTTGATTGTATATATCATCATAATCACGTAACATACAAACAACATTCATTTTTGTTGTTTTCAAATGATGCTCATTGCCATTTGTCATATTAGAAATTCATAAGCGATGGATGGTTCACTTTTTCTTTTACATTTTCTACTTCCATTCAAGTCTCGTATGACCAACCATCATACAGCAGTCCCAAAAGTGGATCATTTCACCGATGATCGATACTATTTTTTATCGAAGAACTATTGATTCAAATAATCAAACTGCCACAACATAGATTCTATTCAATTTTTGTCATTTTTATGTATAGATCTCACTTTTCGTAGTACCAATTGGAATCGGTCCAATTGTTTTGGGCGTTATATAAAATCCAACTTTTAATCGCTGACCCTTCCATTGTTTATTTGTTTTAGACTTTATACCATTGTATGCAAAGGCTCAATATGGTAATAGCAGTATGGATTAGGGAATGAATGGATATAAATAAAACCAAATTCAAACGCAAATCATCATGTCTATGCACAATTGTACATACAACGTGCGTACCGTTAAGTAGCTGCCTATTTAATCAAACAGAAAGAAAACTTAAGCAAACGATTTCATTTCAATGGGTATCGGATCCTTTATTTGATCAACACAGAAGTCTTGCATTTCAGGGGATCGAAATCTTGTCGTAGATGAACTATTGTTATACTTAAAATGTGTATGCATATACATATTATGTATATAATGTAAAAAAGGGATTGTTTTTTCTTCTCGATCTATTTGACAAACATTGCAAACGGAATTGGTTTTATCGTTTCTGTATTTGTTTGTGTCCATTCATTTCTTGACTTTCAAAATGAAACGTGATATATACTAATGTATTGAAATCGAACCTTTTTTTCTTCTTTTAGCGACATAGAACACAAATAGAATCATATTAGAGAAAAAAATAACAAAATCGAATTGAATGAATACTCCAGTGAAAGAAGAACATCCATTTATATTCTCAACAGTTCAATCGTCGCTTTTTTCTTTGCTCAATTGCTTTTGTTTGTGTGTGACGAGCTGTTGGTTAAACTATCGCATGAATTTTGTCACACGTGCTTGTCTTTACATCGAAAGTTCAGAAAAGGGTAGCCAACACCGTTCATAACTGGAAATCATATATCTCTTTCGACTGTTTCGACTGTCATAAAATACTATATTTGTTTTTCTCTAACTTTTTACCATTTCAATTCCAGTGCATTTTTGCAATAACACCTCGGTATCCTGGCGCTCAATAGATCTAGAGCATCATGAGAGATCTGAATCCCTATTGCTAGTGCCCAGTTTTAGCTAGCTACGTGTATACGCACGAAAAACTTTCAATTGAACTGTCCAGATGAATTAATGTCATTCATTTATTATAATATTCCCTAAAAGATAAAGATGAAACAATTTCGGGGGATGGAAACGACTATGTTAGAAGATATTATTTTTGAATGTGTTGCTTTTATTGCATTTTTCCCTAAATCGAGTAATTTCTCTATTGATGAGTTTTCTTCCGTTTCACTACTTTGCCACGTTGGAATGGTTCTCGATATATATACATATATATCGCACCAGGTCAGTTTTCTTTTTCTTTATTTTGTTCACTCGCCAGCATAAAATACCGTAGATTCAACGTTAAAAAGAGACACATTCATTTCATCCCTGAGAAAATGAGAGACAAAACGGCAACAGAGTAACGGAGCATTTTTTTTTCTCTTTTTCATCTTTTTATTTTGCGCTGGCATTAACCTTTTTAACTCGAAAGTTTTTATCATTTATTCGGTGAGATGCTACTTCTTATTTGAAATGAAAATAATATTGCTTCCAAACGCGGAATGAGTACAATATGGACGTTCACATTCCGGGCACATACAAAACGGTGTAACAGTGAAATGGTGAATCATGGTGAAAACTATGATTTTTCGTGTTCATTCGTTTTCAACAGTATACACATATATACATACATACGAAAACTGACAGAAAAAATTATTGTTGTTCCGTTTAAATATGTTTTTATCGCCGCACGAAATGAACACTACGGACTACAAAGTTTTCGAGGCAAAAGAAAAACGAATTCAGACTAATGTGCCATTTTTGGTCATTTATTTATGCCAACGCCGTTTTTCTATGTTCTTTTAACAGCCATGATGGTAGGGAAAACGAGCCATCATGTATCAATTTGATGCGATAAAAAGGTAGATTCGAAGTGAAACGTGAAAGAAAAAAAATCCATTAACTGACTTGGCCAGTGTGTTGAGTGGCGCGCACAAACTTCAGGTCACGTTACCACTACCTCCGCTTCCACCAAATCAAACTTTGAAAATGTTCCGATAGAAAATATAGCGAAATACTTTTTTCTCGTCCTTTTGCTAACCCGTTGGAAAGAAGTTCTCGACACTATTTCACATTCATTTATTAAATTTTAACCGTTCACTGTTAGCTAGGTGAGTGTGTGTGTGTGTATGTGTGTGTTGAAGTTTTCCACAGTGGCACGATTATATGCATGCAATTGAAATATTCGTATTTACAATGTGAAATATATTACATTCAGGAAAAACAAACTAAAGCAGCGAAAAGTTTGCAGTTAGTAAATGGTTGATAGAATTGCGAATAAAATATACTATTTGCATGTTCTAACATTTTCGCATTTCATAATTTGGGGTCACATCTAGATTATATAGATATCGTGTGATACATTAAAACCCAGCCCTTCAAAAATGTTGGCAAAGCAAAAAAGAAAACATCTTTTAATCTGAATTATCTGAATAAATATTAATTTCCGTAGTTCGTATATTCAGCACCCAACAGGCATAAAGTAAACAAAAATGCGTTCAGGATAAATGGCTATCGCCCTAAGCCAGAACAAAACAACATTCAAGAAATGCTTACGAATGCGGTAAAATTCATCCCAAAATTAAAAAAAATCCCGCTCACACAGTACGGAAAAAAAATAATATAATGCGAAATAAACAAAAATGAGATGATTAAACAGAAAAACGATGGTCGTGTGCTTAAGTATTTAGAAAAACCTTTATTATCATTGATTCAGCGACATACGTACGTGAACAACTCACAAAAAAAGGAAAAAAAGAGAAAAAAGAGAAAGAAATAACGATTACGACGACAATGGAGTGAGACACATTGACGGTGTTAAGCGAAAACCACAAAAGGCATACAGAAAATCATACCGAAGTGCAATTAATAATGGATATTATTTAGGCGTATGGATTTAATTTAAACCGCAAAAACTTTTCCTTCTAATCGCATCTCGCTTCTCGTGTGTTACATGTTTGTATTTTCAACACAAGTAAGCATACTGTATTCCAAATGACTGTCGCCAATTCACACATACACTATTTTTCAAGCGATATTTATGCCGCATAGCAAACTTGAACATTGTGAAAACTATATATTTAATCCGTGTTCTGTTAATTCCTGACGCTTTTATATGTTTTCTTTTTGAAAATGGATTTTATTTGCACAGGAAAGTGACAACAACCAAACGCCAAAAAAGAATTATGCACAGAGAAGGAGGTCGACATATAGGTAGCTATGGTGGTATTTTGCAGTCTTTACATTGCAATTGCATAGTCCAGCACTATCATGCGAACACTCAACTTGTGAAAATGAGAAGATGTGCGGTTTTCCCATCGGTACAAATTCAAAATATACGAATGCGATAAATTGTTTGCCTTCTAAATGCTTTACTTCCTTTGTTCAAGTTTGAAATGTCAACTCTGTCGAACCTATTAGTTACATTTCTGTAGAAGGTTCTATCTTTTTTTTTCCCAGTTATCAAATCGATCGAAGAAACACACACAAAAAACGATTTAATTTTCCATTTAAAAATTCACAGTTCCTTAAATTTTTAATATAATAGTTAGCAGCGCATGAAAAATAAGACGTTTGAACATTTTAATGGACATCGACATTTGTGTGTATTTTAATAGAATATAGACATACATTCGAATATTTGGTCGGCAATTAAGAATGCCATGAAGAAAAGTTCCAGTAGAACGAACGATAAAATTAAATAGAAAAATGAACCATTATTTCAGCAATTTTTCTCGCTCCAAAATAACCTCTTGATTTACATTTTTGATTAAGTCCATTTAAAAAAAAGTACAATATTTAATAAAGCATTCAACAATCAACATTTGGGTTTCGTCTTTTGTACCCTCCAGTACCTTGTAAATGTTAATTATCTCGTGCCTCGTGGAATGGCCACACTGTTAATATGTTTAAAATGCAAAAAAATACGATATATGAATGACTTACTTGTTGTAATCGTTTAAATTGCGTCAAGTTGTACGTGCCTGCAGCAACTTGATTGCACGAATGTTAATTGCATTTAATCGGATCCTTCGACAGACACACCGAGCTCACTGACAGTAAAACGCTTCTAAACGATGTTGTCAGCCGTGTACGTTCAATTGTAACGAAATTGATAAATGAATCAAAGGTGAAAAATCCGCCCAAAGTCTTTCTGAAAATATTGACAGAACACGAGAGAGAAATTAGTAAAAACAAGGGCTCTTTGTATTTGTTGGATGAATTTTTGTTAATGAAGTGCAACATTTTTATCGTTGTTTTGCTTTGGTTTTGATATAATCGTCTTCATCGTGTCGCTTTTTGTGTACAGTGTTTTTTTATATTGGTGATGATTATTGTTGCTGCCAGCCAGCATTGCTATCTGTAACATTATTTCTTCCAGTTTAAATCCAACTAATCACCGAAACGAATTGTAATCCCTGTTTTTTTTTATTATTTCAGTTGATCTTCTTCCCAAAAATCGTTTATCATTTATTTTCGTTATATTCGAGTCACAGTTCGTTTTTTCTGGTAATGTATGTTCAGTTTTATATCAAACGATCCAAATATAGAATAGATAAACGTTACAGAGCATATGCATTAGAAATGTGACTATTGCAATTGGTTGGAAAAATGGTTTTTGCCGTTCGTTCCTTGAAAAATCTCTTTATTTGTTTTTAATAGCATTTCATTTTCCCGTTTTTTCTTTCTTTCTTTCGTTGGATTGAAATTCGACACATAAAAACTTGAAACGTGTCGAATCAACATGTCTGTCTAGAAGTTCCACATAAAATTTTATGTGTACACGAATATAAATCGAAAATCGACAGTGAAAAATTGTGGTAAAGGCGATTCTAATTGGTCTCTTTTCGTTGCTGCTGCTTACATTAGCACATGCAGAGAATGGCCATTTTTTGGAAAATGATCCATACGAAACAACTCCTTTCTTTTTATTTTGGACGGCAACCATTTGAATTATAGATAAATTCACTTTAAACCAATTCGATTCGAATGTACTGAAGAAATCTCTCTCTTTTATTATTGTTTATTTTAAAACATTTTGACTTTTTGTGCATCGTGAAATTAAATGAAATAAATTGATTGCGGACTGCTGTTAGCCTTTTTTATATTTCATTTTTTGGTTTTTACTGTGCTCACATGATGCATGAATAATGTTGTTTGGAATTTTGTTTTCATATCTTCGTTCTGGTTCATTGTAAACGATTATCTATTACATTTAAACACACAATTTGTGCTTCCATTAGGGGTTCAACAACCATTGTTTCTAATATATTTTTAATTTTTTCGCAGAAAAAACCGTAAAAAAAGAGTGAAACACAATGCCCAATTTTTCATTCTACGGTATTTCTTTTTATATTTATTTTCGTTTAGTATGTATGTGTGTATTTGTTTCCGTATTTTTAAACGCATGGTGTACATCTGCCATTGACGCGGTAGGAAGTTATACATTGTTTTTTGACATCATTCTGTATAATTCACATACACATTGTACACTGTACACTGTACAGCGTACTGAATATTTCAATGTTGCATTTTGTTTTCGCTTTCACGGCTATTATTATTCTAATTGTTATTATTTGTGGTGTAGGATTCATTATGTCTCTTGAAAGAGTTGGCATGCGTTCAATGGCAATGATGTAATCCTTGCGGTTAGATTATGTGTTGTAACATCATGGGATTTTGTTGATGTTGTTGTTGTTTTTTAGCCAAAAAAACTTTATTCACAATCTTTTTGGCTTATTGTTTTATTAATTTTGGACCCGCATTTTACATAAAGTCACTTGAATGAGGAATTTGTCAAGAGATGGAATTTGAAAAGTTGAATGGTCGAGAACGACAACGTAAAGTGACAAATGTGCACAAAATGTATATACATATCGAACATGTTTAGATTGAAACCATCAATTTGACAAATACCGAAAGAACTTATTGTTTACATGCTGTTTGTTATACTTAATTGAAAGCAATCCAGAAAATCAACGAGTTTGTATGCATATATATCTGTTGAGTGGACATTTGCATTGAACATTTAGAACTTGATTAGATATTTAAATACAAAGGCAAATACTCCCGAATGTCGCCAATGTATTTTGAGCAAATGGTCAGGTAGGTTACGGTAAGAAGAGGTAAAGTCCTCATGATAATACACTCCGCCCATTTCATATGCACAAATACAGACATGCCAAATATATGTATATTAATCAATTTTAAGTGATTTCATTCATTTAATGCCATTTCGGTTCTGACCTAACCTTTTGACTTGCTCAGTAACAAAATGGATGGTGAGCGATCCCGTTCAGAATCCGTTTGACCATATAATGTTAAATGCTAGAATGACGGTATGTTTGGGTGCTTCAGTCGGTCGTGGGTGAAGTGACCACCCGAGTCAATGTGCCAACTATTGCTTTCAAAAATGCAAATAGAAGCAAATAAATTGAGTGAAATTTTCCCAGAAAATGAAATGAAATGAATTTTTTTTACAGAAATAGAGGCAAATGTTGAAAAATCAAAAGTAAGCATGGAATGCCAATTTTTGAGTTTTAATCAAATTCTTCAAATGGAAAAAGGTGAATGGAATATGTATACGTGTTTTTGTGTTTTGTATGCTGTATATTGAGCACTTTTGTCAACATCAAAACCCATCCATGGCCAGTTGAATTGATCTTCATAAAATTGAATTGCTGCAACTATGACAGCCAATAGCAACACATACCAAATCGAAATGGTCACAAGAAAACTTATTTCAATAGCAACATTTTGAATATAAACGTTTGTTTTTGGATGTTAAATGGTTTGACCGATACTTTTAAATCTTGATTGAAATGATTCTGTTTTCTCTCTCTCTCTCTCTCTCTCTCTCTCTCTCTCTATATATATATATATATATATATATATATATATATATATATATATATTTTTGGTCAGTTGTCATTTCTTCTATTTCTTTATCTTCTCTGTATATACATATTTTTATTTTAATCTCATTTGAATCATTCTCTTTCTCGTTTAAATGGTTCGGACGGTTCCCCATAGCGCGCCGAAATGAATAATCATTAAATCATTATACCAACAACGTATTAATTTGTTTACCCTTCGGTATACGATCGTTGGCTTTTTAATGTGATGGACCGTATTTGTTTTCTTAGATCGTCATAAATTACGTTACAATACGAGCATCGATAATAAATGTTCTGCTGTTTATTTTAATATTTTTGTTTTTCATATTTTTGGCTTTTGGTTATCTGGGATTCTGGGAGGTTTTGATTATACTTTGTTTGGTATCACTGTGTCTGCTTTTGAAAATCAAAATCAAGTGAGGGAAATATTTTTTTTTGTTGGGTGAAAAAGAGTAATCGTTCGGCATATGTGCGTACTTTCAAGTTGATGGACCAAATGATGATTTTCTTATATGTTGTTTCACGCTGTCGCATGTTCATCATCTTTCTTTCATGTTCAGCTATTGAGTTTTGGTATATTTATATCTTTTGCTTTGAAGTTATTGTTGTTGCTGTCGTTTGTTTTTGAACAAAAGTATTTAAATGTACGAAACAACTTCATCATTTGATTGTGACTTTTGTGTACCAGTCTAAACAGTATAAAACATACATGCACAGCATGGCTCTTTGCTGGTGCTGTAACCATGGTATTGTTACTCTTTCTCTTTCACTATCTCACTCTGTTTACGACAGTTTTTTTGTTCTTCTCTCCCTCTGTTTCATTCACAACACCATTGTTGTTTATAGTGAACGAACTGAGGTAAATTTGAGAGACAATGTTAAGGCGGAAAAGATACATTTAAAGAAGCACCATCATCATAAATCACACATGAAATTACACAAAAAGCAACGCGCACACACACTACACACATAACATTTTACAATGTCCCGATTTCAGATGATGATGATACACCAATGCAACGGCATTCGAACCACATAGAATAACTAGATTTTAGCTAGAGCGAAGACGACGTAAAATTCGATAGATGTGGCATACAATACGTTTCAAGATTCTAAGCGAGCAACTGCGAACCGAATGACACTAACGAATACACGACCATTCGCATATACAAAAAAAAAAAAAAACGAATGTAACGGAGATGTTGAAGCGACATCAGAGAAAAAGCAAGCTCTCTGCAATGAAAAGGGCCAACAATATGAAACCAGTGAGGCCAAAATGGTAAATGCCTTAAATTGTAATATGTTAAAGAAAAAGATCTATTGTTTCATTTTTGGTTTCATTTTTTTTCTCATCCAGTTCGTCGTCGATGTGTTACATGGAAGCATGAACAATGTTTCTGTTTCCATATCGTTGGAAACTCTCTACGTTGACGTCGTCGGGGTCATATCCACTTAGGACAACAAGTAGTTTCAGATAGGCAATAGATATTAATGCAGCGTAATTTTTCAAAAGAAAACGCTTAATACACACGAATGACATGAACCAGAGTACATGAAACACAAATAAAATTCATCATCGCAGTTGCCATTTCAGATAGCTACTTCAAAGAGCGCAAATAAGAGGAAAAAAATGGTAAGAGTTGAGCTCTGCCATAAATGGAGAGATGGAGTTAGATGGAATCATTCTAAAGACAATTTAAATTGATGAAGATCAAAATGCACACTCATACACACACACAATAAATGTATAGCAATCAGCATGGTACAGAGAAAGGTCCCGAACCAAAAATAATGGCCTTGCATATTTTGAACTAATTTTTGAACATTTCTTTCTCTCTTTTTCGATATAGATATGTCTCTCTATCCTCTCTCTCTCTCTGATTTAACAATGTATAGCGTCCGTGTTTACTTCAGTATAGTATTTATTTTTTGTATCAAAAGTATTTGAGTAAATCTGTTTCGATTCTCAAATTTTAATGTTTTTTTTTGTCCAGATTACAAAATGTTTTTTGTCCGGAGTCGAAGCAAAAACCCACACCGCAATTTTGCAAGCCAAAAACTGAACAACGAAATGATAATTCTATCCATATTGCTTGTGATTGTAATACATCACAAATATTTAGCGGCAAATACTACTTCTTCGTGGAAACAGTGAACGAGAGAGAGAGAGAGAGAGAAGACATTCTTGGCAACAGAAATCTCATATGGAATGAAGATATTTCTTTTATCAAACGGAACAAAACATCCATTTGCAGTT